TTCTTTTAGTGCTAGCCAAATTTTTCTTATGTCCTCTCTTCACTAGGCTCTTTTTTCACTTTGTTGTTTGTTTTTACAAAAACAAGTTAAAAATCATAGCACCCAGGCTGAAGCAGGTATCACAGCACAACTGTGGTTGTCATTTCCTGTTCTAACCATTTAATAGTGCTGTCTTCTGTCTCTGTGCTTTTCTTCCTATTTTTCATTAGAAATTTAATACGTTGGTAGGGGAAAAAGGAGCTCAAATGAGTGGAGGTCAGAAACAGAGGATCGCCATTGCTCGAGCTTTAGTTCGAAACCCGAAGATTCTGATTTTAGATGAGGCTACATCTGCCCTTGATACGGAAAGCGAGTCAGTTGTTCAGGCTGCACTGGAGAAGGTAAGTGAGCAGGAGCACTGCGTATTTCCTTTTCCTGCTTCACCGTTGTTGTTAAATACAAGAAAGCATGGATCTGTGATGGATTACTTAAGTTCCTTAAGGTATGGATGCAGGTTGCTCACCCACGGAGGACCTTACGTGATGGTTACAGGAAGTGATTTGGAGGAGAGAAGGAGACATTGTAGTTGGTGCTAAAAATATATATATGAGGCTGATATACAAGCAATCATCCCGAATACACCTCCGTTTTCACAGATTTGCACTTTCCCCCTCCCCCGAATAACCCCGCCACCATCAGCACTACTATTACCATGTCCATCCTTTGCCTATTCCATACACACCTGTGGGATTCCCTTCTCTGACCACTTTTCTTCCTCAGGGCAGTCCCAGGTATTCATTTTAACCTTACTTCCCCTCAAGTAGAGAGCCAGCTAATCTTGACCCAACCCCCTTCAGCAGCCCTGGCCCCTCACACCTCACACCGCCCTCCTGCTCACCCTGTGCAGGCCACAGTGCAGTTGTGAGTACAACTGCCCCAAGTACGCTACATCTGGGAGGGGAGTCCACAGAGGTGGTGTGAAAAATCATTGAATGCGTTTCTCAGTGGCCAGACTCTTTTAAATCATGGCCTCCAGACCCTTCTGAAGGCTAAATGGCACGTTTTATTTTGCCTTTACATGGAAATGTATTAAGTGTTTTTCTCTCTAGGAAAATTGCAGGCTTCTCTTTTAAATGTTGACTTTGTGGGACCAGAAATGGATACTGGCAGCCAGAGTGCCCATTGCTTATTGAAAAATCTATTAGTTCCTATTATTTACTCACAAATCAGATTGTATAAGTTTTGACCTTGTTTCCCTCCCATGATGACAGTGCCACATGCTGCTTGCACGATCTGAAAATCCTGATTTATTGTGGACGCTTGGCCAATTTGATTCATCTTGGTAGAAAAGAAATGAGGGCAGGGGTAATGTTTTGTTTTATACTTAGGAACTAGGACAGGGATTTCTATATAGAATATCCTACATAAATCGTTTTAATAATAGTGATGTCTATTTATTTAGGGCTTCAATGTACTAACAATGATTACATTTAACATACTCATCTCGAGTTATTTTTAAATGTATTGTAACAGGCTTTCAGGTTATTGAGAGGTTACATGTTGTGCCCATTGTCTTCTCATCCAATAAGCTAATCACTCTAGGCAATCAAAACTAGTTCAGACTTTAAAAATAAATAGTTGCTTGGCAACGTGATAAACTAATCAATGCTCTTCCTACTGGATAAAATGAAATCCCTGTTGGAAATGAAAAAAGAATGCAAAATGTTTGTCAACTATGATTCCAATTACATGAAATATGTGTACCT